ACTTGGACCTGGCTTATAAGCTTCAGCTTTAAATAAGCTAATAAAATTGCAATCCAACCCTACCCAAGTAGCGGTTGGGTTGGGCTGGCCTCATGGGCCAAGCCCATTTTGACGGCTCTAATTGTATGTTCTTCTTGGGGTATTTGCATCTATACCCGCTTTTTGGGTCACGTTTTAACTTGTGCCCGCTTTGCAAAAAAAAATTGCAAGTGTACCCATTTTTTCGCGTAATTTCAGCATACGGGGTTGAAGTAGCAAAGACAATCACGCAAAACTTTAGCATTCTAGTAGACGGGCCTGAAGTAGCAAGTGTGCTGAAGTTTTTGTTTGTAATTACTGAACTTAAGCATAGTAGCTAAAGTTTTGTTCTCTATTTGCTGAAGTTTTTGTTTGTAATTACTGAACTTAAGCATAGTAGCTAAAGTTTTGTTCTCTATTTGCTGAAGTTTTTGTTTGTAATTGCTGAACTGAAGCATAGTAGCTGAAGTTTTGTTCTCCATTTGCTGAAGTTTTTAATTGTTTGTAATTGCACTAAATAAGTTGAAGTTTTTTTTTTTGTCCGAGATAAGCTTTTTCAAAAATTTCAGCAGAAGATGCTGAAGTTATTTAGTTCATTTGTAAAAACTTCAGCACTAAAAACTGAAGTTTTTTTGTCCGGGATTCATTAATTTTGTCATAAAGCTTTTTCAAAAACTTCAACAGAAGATGATGAAGTTATTTAGTTCATTTGTAAAAACTTCAGCACTATATAAGCTGAAGTTTTTGAAAAAGTTTTCTAACATACTAGATAAATAATCAGATTGTCAACAGTATCTAAATCATAAATTTTAAAAACAATAAAGGTGAAAAGAACAAAATTATCATTGTCTACTAACTTACGTACGTGAAAATATTCACAAATTATTATTTATAATTTGTTTTTAAATAATCTGATAAACATATTTATGACAATCATCACATGAACTGAAGTTTCATAGCAGCACCAACAACAGCAGAAGAAAGAAGAAGAAGAAGAAGAAGAAGAAGAAGAAGAAGAAGAAGGAGAAGGAGAAGGAGAAGGAGAAAGGAGGTTGAAGTTGTTTAAAAAGTGGGTACAAGTTAAAACTTTTTTTAAAAAAATGGGTATAGGTTAAATGGGGCGACCAAATAGGGCACCCCGTGCAATTTTTACGTTCTTCTTCCTCTTCCAGTTTCAATCTAAAAATTCACCCAAAACAAACTCTAATCTTAACCAATCTCCTTCAAAATTGAGATATAAATTCCAAAGGATATTCTCAATCTTGCAATTTTGTAAAACCCAAATTTTGAATTCAAAGTTCAAAACTTTTTAATAGTTGTCAGTAAAGTTTACAGCTTTGTCATTATTTCTTAATCATTATTATTGAATAAATAATATATGATTTGGAAAAACTTTCGAACCACGCCAGCACGTTCAATTAATTAATGTTTATTGGTGTGATTGCATTTTCATAAGCTTATATATTTGGTAATTCATTAAAAATTAAAATGATTGTATTATTGTGTGGGATATGATGATTCAGAAATCGGCAGTAGAATTTTCATGATTTTTAGAGAGAGGAAACGGGGTTTTGAAGAGGAACAGAGGGTCAGATCAGAACATGAGTCAGAGGGGTTTGGCTCTTAGGAGTGGGTTACCCATTTAATTGCCTATACTTGGGGGATCACTACTAGTCTGAAGTCAGAAATTTTCTTATTTCCGTCTGCAGAATACGACTACAAAAATGTAGCCGGAAGTCCGACTACTTTTCCGACGTTTATTGTTTCGGCTACTAGTTTTTGGTCCGTACGGCATCAGAAATCTAATTTTTCGACTACTTTCTAGCGATTTTGATGGTTGAAAAAATGTGATTTTCTAGTATTAGATCCAATATTAATATAGATTTGTATACAAATTATAAATATAAATATGATATGCTATTAAAAAGAATCTCTATAAAAGTGGTAATTAAGTCTATAAAAAAGCATAGCTATAAAAATTCCCCGTAGAACACCATTTTTTCATCAAAAAATGGGCTACCCCTTATTCTTTCATAGAATCACCAAACTCCAGGAGAATAAAAGGACAATTATTTTAGACAGATAAATGCAGTTATTATTGTTGTAAAAATATTGGATTATGGAGAATAAGATTTAGCTTGAGGCGTGTCAAAGACACTGTCCTTAAGGATATTTCGCTCACACCGTGATAAATAAAATTAGACGTATTCCGGCGAATTCAACAAGCCCTTCTAGTATAACTAGGAGCAGAAACAACACAGATTGAATAAAAAAAAACCAAGCACAAAAGAAAGAGAAGAAAGAAACTTTCTTAGGTTTTTTCTCCTTTTTCCAAAATAACCACACAAAGGACTTATGTAGTCCAAAAAATTGAATGCACCATCTCATCAAAAAATGTCTGAGCTAAGCCATAAAGGCTCTTCAAAAGTTTATACGTTAAAAGCATAAGCCATTAAGGCTATCAAATGTAATAGACGGTTAAAATTTTGTAACCAAACGTAACGTTCAAATCTCATTCAATAGCCAAATTAATTTTGTCCAAATTGACTACAAAATTAAATTAATTTGCTGTTACAAATATATTTAAAATAATTAGTACTATAATAAAGGCTCATTAACATAATATCAAAAGAATGAATCTAGACATCAATTTGAATATTTCTTTTTGAGTTATCAAATTATTTTTCCAACAATTATAACTTAATTAAAGCTCATATATCATTCCAACTGTTAGCATACGCTTGTGAGGGATGTCAAAAACCTTGTTACTTTGCCTCAGGTTCTTCTTCAAGAAATTGTAAGCATAATTTCTTTGCTTTACCAGACCCCTTACTCGCAATCACTTCATGTTCACCTACCAAATGAACCACCCCCGTACTATATGCTCTCTCTAGTACGTACTTCTACTTCTTTTTCCCCTAATATAGCAAAATCCTCCTCTTTTTCGACTTGTTTTATATTTGAATTCTCCTCCTCGGACTTCATTGAACCAACATTAATGCATAAATCAATCTCTAATTGTTTGATTTTTTCAGTAGATAGTCTGTGACTTTTTATTGCAACTGAAAACAAGCAATATTCACGTATGAACTCTTTGAGCCTCTCCACCTCGAGGTCGTCTTGCTCATTACACACATCATTGTATCCATAACGTACCATGCACACAGCGAAACACGTAGAGATCAGATGGCTGCACCCAACGGAAGAGGAATCGTTCTTTTACTGGAACTTTACTGATGGGAAGTGATTTGAATGAAACAAACACAAGATCACGGTGTAAACATGGCACATTCGCCACATATTGCTTGAAAATTGGTGGAATTCCATGAACAAGTTCAGAATAGAAAATGGCAAGTCCGGGTAATCGAGAGAAATTTGTCTTATCTACTATTGCCTTAACTTTCTCAGGAGAAATCTTGTCTTCAAGCTCGAAGTAGTATTTCTTTTGATACACGTAATTCCATACGCACATGCATTAGGAACATAGCATAAAAGCTAGTGGAAGGTAACCGCCTTTATCAAACTTGTAAAGGACCGAACTTTGGTACACAAGCTCAACAGTTCCAATGATTAGAGCATAGGCGATTATAAAAGAATGTGAGTTTTCCAGATCATAATCATGACTAGTATAAGGAAGGATGATGTTAATGTCATCACAAACACCACTGCTATTCCTGTAAATATTGAGAAACACAAATGGTTTCATGATGTGTTAGATATATGTCTCTTGGTTTGATTTGACGTATAGTCACTGAATTTTATCCATTATTACAATAAAGTTAAAAAACTAAAACATAACTGAATTTTATTCATTATAACAGTAATGTTACTAAACGTTACCCACTAAAGCATTAAAACTCAAGTGAATTTGATCAGTTACTTTAATATGACAAAAATAGTTTTGTGATTTTGTTGTTATAGTAGGTAATTAATTTCAGTAACTATACGTAAAATTAAACATGTACATTATCACCAACAAACATCAGTTTGATATATCTTCAAGAAAGAGAGGGAATAACTAGAAATGAAATGTCTTACCATAAGCGTTGCTAATTTTTGCAGTAGTCTTGAATCCAAGAGTAACAGCAACACAAGCCAACATGAGAAAGTAATTGACTTCAGGGATATAGACTTGCCCTTGATGTTTGGTTGATGTATGCACAATTTTAACCCGAGGAAAGCATCCTAATGCGAGCGATTGCTGGATTATAGCGAAGGTCCCGGAAATCATGGCTTGACTTGCAATGATAGCTGCAAACACTGCCACCACATATATGCCATCTACAATATGTGTTCATGAGGAAAGAAAAGCATAAATGTTCATTAATTTTGTCTCACGATAACATAAAACCTATGTTGTTTAGACTGTTCAAAAAAGTTATCAGGTACGTCTAAGATCCTCTAAAAGTAGTGTAGTTTTGGAAAATTTAACATGGGTGCAACAACAGTTTTAGAGAGTCCGAGCAATATAACATAAAACCTAAGTATTTATATGTATATAGATGTTATGCTTACTGAGGTATATACTTGAAAAAAGTATCAGAAACGTCATCCGCATTCTTCCTTAAAAAGGAGGCTTGACCAGTGTAAGCTAATATGAGCGCTGGTTATGTTACACAGCACATGCTTATCTGTATAGACTGAACAGTAAAATGACCAACATCTGCAAGTAGTGCCTCCGTTCCTGCAATTCGTCATTCACTATTATATTTACTCCGGACTTACAGTACTCTTTCTTCGCTGAAAAATTATAGTTTTTTTAATCTAGTATTTACACAAAATCCATCAGTTTAACCTGATGAATACTCAAATATTAATTAAAGTGAAGGATGTTAGAGCCCAGTCAACTGCACACACAGCTGGCTCAAATACTATGACCCGGCCCAGTCTCCTTTATTCCTTATTCTTTTATATTCAATGCATTGTATAAGTGTAGTATTGATTCTTTCATTTTACACACATTTTTCCCGTAAATATAAATACTGAACAAGTTGAGAAATAAAAGGTTAGACGGATATTTTCCAAATTTCATTTCTCTGTTTCTCTTTCTTCTCTCTCGAACTTCTAGGGTCTGTTTCTAATGGAGTCACCATAGCTCGTTGAGCTTCATCCTGACAAGGTATCAGAGCGGGATTTTTGATTCCTTGCCATGTAAGCTTCATCTTCAACGGTAAATCGATTGAAGATCTCACTGAAATCGGTCCTTTGGGTAAAGTTCGAAAACTCGGTGAATTCGCTACTACGGGACAGAAAATTTGGGTTTTTTACTGGAATCTCTTCTTATATCAATTAAGTCGACTGGAATTCATGATTTCGTAATGAATTCAAGCGATTTGGGGCTAATCTCAAGCTAGGGTTTGGTTTCTGTTCACTTCTTCTGGTTTTGAGTAGAAGGTTGGTAATACCGTTCTAATCTACAACTCTGAAACTTATATTGATGTGATTTAGGTCATGTAGTTTGGAGATCCATGTATATGACAGATTGCATGTTATTTTTTGAGCCTATTGTCTATTACTGTGTCGATTAGATTGTGTTAGTAGAAAATACGGGTAGTCATGGAGATGATATCACTTCACCCTCAGTTCCCACTACTGAAGGATTTGCTCCCTTTACAATAGATCCTTCTCATCCTTTCTATGTGTACCCATCAGACAATCCGGGTAGCCAATTAGTACATGTTCCCTTCAATGGACATGGTTTTGTATTGAGGAGAAGTAGCATGCTTACTTCTCTTTCTGCTAAAAATAAATTAGGTTTGTTAGATGGGAGAATTGCCCAACCTCCTGCCAACTCTCCTTTTTTATTACTATTGGGAGAGTCTTGGATTATCAACTCTGTTTCCATAGACATAGCCACAAGTGTCATGTGTTTTAGGGCTGCAAAGGAGGTTTGGACTGACATTAATGAAAGATTTGGACAGTCCAATGGGTTTAAATATCTTCAAATTCAGAGAGAAATCAGTTCAACTATCCAAGGGTCATCTGATATTGCCACCTACTTTACCAAATTTAGGAGTCTTTGGGATAAATTAAATTCCTCATATGTAGGCCCTATATGCTCTTGTGGAGCTCTTCCCAAGTTTATAGAGGATCAACAACTATTTCAATTCCTAAATGGGCTAAATGACTCTTATTCAAATGTGAAGAGTGCTATTATGCTCATAAATCCCTTACCACCAATAAGCAAAGCTTACTCTCTCTTACAACAAGATGAGAGTCAAAGAGAAACTCCAGCTTCAGTTACAAATTTTTCTAATGAATCTTCCTCCTTCTCTGTATCCTCAACAACACCAAATAGAAATTTCAATCAAAGATCAACTTTAACTCCAGGAAACCCAACTCTGTTTCTTGCAAATACTGCAAGAAACCTGGACACACAATGGAGAAATGCTATATATTACATGATTTTCCTGCAGATTTCAAATTTACCAAAGGCAAGAAATCAGCCTCATGTGTCCAGTCTGACATCCCAATCAATCAGTTTGCAGTTTCTCCTCAACCATCTACTGAGAATTCTGCCCATGGTTTCACCAAGGAACAGTATCATCACCTAATAACTTTATTCCAACAAGTCCAGGTGTCTTCTAGTGCTGGATTTGACAATCTTCATGTTGAGAAATCTGGATTTGCACATTTTGCAGGTTTGTTCACCGATTATGCTGCAGAATCTACTGATTTTCATGTATGTGCATCTTCTCAATTAGGTGTAAATCCTTGGATATTATACTCAGGGGCAATAAATTAGATGACTCCACACAAACACTTACTTTACAACCTTATACCTTTACCTAAACCATTTCTTGTCACTCTATCTAATGGATATAAAGTTAAAGTGTTGTCAACTGGCTCTTTATATCTCAGGCATGACATAACTTTACTCAATGTCCTTCTTGTGCCTTCCTTTCATTTTAATCTAATATCTATACATCAACTAATATCCCAGCTGAATTGTATAGCTATTCTTACCAAATTTAATTGTTCTTTACAGGGCTCTTCTCTGAAGAGGCCACCGGTAATTGGTAAGGCTGCTGGAAGACTATACTATCTACATCCTAATGCTGAATTGTTTCCATCTCAACATGTTTCTTCTGTTCTTTCAAATTCTATTTCTTGCAATAAGTCTGTTTTCTTCCAATTTCTGTAAATAATCTGCCATGTAATCAGACATCTACTATGAATAAAATGGATTTGTTTTGACACCAAAGGTTAGGGCATATGCCTTTCATATAATGATATCTATTTCATTCTTGTCTGATAAAGTTTCTTCAAAGCAGTCTTTCATATGCTCTATTTATCCAGTAGCTAGACAACAAAGATTACCTTTTTATGACAGCCACATTCATTCCACTGCTCCTTTTCAGCTGGTTCACATTGATGTTTGGTGACCCTATAATACTAGGACATACAATGGATTTATATACTTCTTAACTTTAGTTGATGACTATAGTAGAGCTACCTGGACCCATCTTTTATCTTGTAAAGGTAATGCTCTTTCTGTGTTAAAAGCATTCACCTCTATGGTCAAAACACATTTTCAATCCTTAGTCCATACTTTCAGGTCTAATAATGCTTATGAGCTTGGTAGCAGCTCTAAAGCTACTGCTTTCTTAAGCAACCAAGGTATTCTACATCAAACTACTATTCCACATACACCACAACAAAATGGTGTTGTGCAAAGAAAACATAAACATTTATTGGAAGTTTCTAGAGCTCTCTTTTTCCAATCTAAACTTCCTCGCAAATTCTGGGGTGATTGTATACTAACTGCTACCTACCTGATCAATAGAATGCCTCTAACTGTCTTAAACAACATTTCTCCTTATGAAAAACTGCATGGAAATCCACTTTCTTATGTTCACTTAAAGTCTTTTGGTTCCTTATGCTTTGCAACTTCTCCCAAGTTTGGAAGGGATACAAGTTCTAATCTAGAGCTATACATAGTCTTTTCTTAGGATATCCCGGTGGCAAGAAGGGTTAAAAACTCATGAACCTTTCTAATTATTCTATTTTTTACTCTAGGGATGTGGTATTCCATGAACACATCTTCCCTTATGGTTCAACAACATCTTCTACCACTCCTCCCTCCACTTTTCCACCTTTTGTGGATATTGATACATCTTCTGCTCCTGCTCCTACTTATGCAACAGAAGTGCCTACAACATTTAATATTTCCTCCCTTCCTATTGCTGAAACAAACATTCCTGATGCATCCTCTGCCTCACTTCTTCCTTCTCCTTCTTTCTTATTCTGCCCCCATTCCACCTTGTGTGGATCAGCCTTCTCCACTTCCACCACTTGCTCCTGCTTTAAGAAAATCCACCAGAACTATCATTCAACCATCCTACCTTCAAGACTATGTCTGTAACTCTATCCTTCCTCTTACTCCTATTTCTGCAATATCTAAGGTGTCCTAAACTTAGCTACATGTGCATGAACCTCAATATTACCAGCAGGCAGCTTCGCATCCTGCTTGGCAAGAGACAATGCTAAAGGAATTTCAGGCTCTTGAGTCCAATCAAACTTGGGACATTGTTCCCCTTCCTCCTCACAAAAAGGTCATCCCTTGTAAGTGGGTTTACAAGATTAAACAAAGGGCAGATGGTTCCATTGAGATATACAAAACAAGGCTTGTTATTAGAGGGGATACTCAGAGAGAAGGTATTGACTTCACTGAGACCTCTTCACCTGTTGTCACGCTGACAACCATCAAATGTCTCCTGGCCTTAGTTGTGAAAATGGGTTGGACTATTTTTCAGTTGGATGTGAACAATGTTTTTCTCCATGATGACCTTCATGAGGAAGTTTATATAAAGATCCCACCTAAGATGGATGTCTCTTCTACTTCTGAATCTTCTCCTTTTATTTATAGACTCAAGAAGTCTTTATATGGCCTCAGGCAGGCTTCTAGGCAATGGTTTTCTAAATTGTCTGAAGCACTGCACTCCAGAGGCTACATTTCTAGTCTCAATGACTATTCCCTCTTCACAAAGTCCTCTTCTGATTCTCTAGTTGTATTGGCAGTCTATGTTGATGATATATTGTTAGTTGTTGATGACATTTCTGAACTTAACTCTTTAAAACAATTCTTGGACTCTCAATTTAAAATCAAGGATCTAGGTTTGGTGCACTACTTCCTAGGTTTGGAAATTTCTCAGCATCCCCAAGGATACTTAATGAATCAACAAAAGTACACCACTGATCTCCTTCAAGAATTCAACTTTCATCACTTCTCCCCTGTTACTACTCCTTTGGATTCTTATGTTAAGCTTACTATGGACATGGGTACTCCTGTTTCTGATCCTAATATATACAGAAGATTAATTGGGAAATTGAATTTCCTCCAACATACAACACCTGATATTTCTTTCTTTGTTCAATACCTAAGTCAGTTTCTTCAGAAGCCCCAGGTACCTCATATGATGGCAGTTATCCATGTTCTAAGATACCTTATGAATGATCCTGCTCAAGGTATACTGCTCTCTAGTTCTGATGATTTGTCTCTTGTGGGATTTTCTGACTCTGATTGGGGATCTTGTGCCATCTCTCGCAAGTCTGTGAGTAGGTTTTACATATCTCTTAGTGGCAGTCTTGTGTCCTGCAAGAGTAAGAAATATCCTACCATCTCTTTGTCTTCAGCTGAGGATGAATATAGAGCATTGAGGAAGCTGGTTGCAGACGTTGTTTAGTTGGTCAGGCTTTTGGGTGACCTTGGTTTGGTTATTTTATATCTTGTTCCTGTCTATTGTGACAGTCAAACTGCCTTCCACATAGTCAAGAACCCTATTTTTTATGAGCGAACCAAACACATCGAGATTGATTGCCATTATGTGAGGGAGTGCGTCACTGCTGGTTTTCTTACTTTGCATTTTGTCTTTTCTTCAGGATAGCTAGCAGATATTATGACTAAAGCATTACCCAGCCAGCTGCATTATGGTATTCTTGGCAAGCTTGGTGTTTCATCACCCTCAAGCTTGAGGGGAGTGTTAGAGCCCAGTCTGCTGCACACACAGCTGGCCCAACACTATGATCTGGACCAGTCTCCTTTATTCCTTATTCTTTTATATTCAATGCATTGTATAAGTGTAGTATTAATTTTTTTTATTTTACACACATTTTTCCTGTAAATATAAATACTGAACAAGTTGAGAAATAAAAGGTTAGACAGATATTTTCCAAATTTTATTTCTCTGTTTCTCTTTCTTCTCCTTCGAACCTTCTAGGGTCTCTCTCTAATGAAGTCCCCATAGCTCGTTGAGCTTCATCCTGACAAAGGAAATGATACCTGTAATTGAAAGAACAACCAGCCAAGAGAATCCAAGCATCTTTTTTATTTCTCTTGAAGTAGTCTATGATGTATTTAGGATTAATAGCTTTGACATTTTTTTATCATGCTTTACGAAGTTGTAAATTCCAATACCATCAATGAGTGAGAACCACACACAAATTATTGGTGCAAATGTGTAGCCAACTTTGTCAATTCCAAATCTTTGAAACACAAACAGCAAGACCAGGATAGCAATTGAAATCCAGACAACCCTTTCTGCATTCCAAGAAAACAAATATTATATTATATTTACATATGGAGCGTAAAACAATTAATTTCACGAACAATTTTTCTCTCAATATTTCTGACTATTATTTTAAATACTTTTTTACTAGAGTCAATAAAATTTTCTGGTAAAGAAAATGATCTTAACTAAAAGTGGGTAAATGCTTGCTCGCACCCAATATTAACACCAAATCATATCAACTTATCATGGTTAAGTGATTTAATGATGTGAGAATAAATATTAATTATTCATATTAAGTACTACAAGCTTATGTACAAATACATGTCATGCATTAATTCGTATAGTTTACTTACTGGGAACTATAAGGGCCAAAATTCGACCAAGGAAATTCCGTGCGAAAAGAAACCATAGTGGTGGGATCGTGATTCGCCATGGGCGCCTTGGCTAAGCACGACCCAGGCAAACACCTGAAAATTCCATCTTGGACAAGGTCGAGGACAAACAGAACAAGCCATGTTCGAAAGTCAATTGGTCTGAGGTCATGTTTCTGAAGCAACGCTAACGAGCCGAACAACCGAGGTCGAAGTCACGCACTTAGGTTGGCCAGAAACGGCTTGTTTTAGCAATAGAATATTAAAAGGAAATATTCTATTGGATATCCTCTGCAACTTGTACTTTCAGTAGATAAGAGATATATCTCATATAAAAAGGAAGAGAGAGAGGGGAGAAAGGGGATCCCATTTTTGGAAGAGTTATCTCTAGAGAAGTTGATTCTCATGTAAATAACTACTAAACATCATCTATAAAGAACATTCAATTTGTTGAGTCGGTCCAGGCTGTTCCACACTAGATCCGATAAAATGATAGATGCTTACACATTTGGCCATCATACATCACTATCAGAAAGAGAATCATCCACTTTGTTGCACGGTTGGGTGAATTACTCCTTTTATAAATAAATACTACCATTCATTTCATTTATGGCTTGTCTTCATTTCTTCGTTTGTTCATAAGAACATCATTAAACCACTCTTTTGCTTTAAATAGCTTTAAATACGATTTTTGAATGTTTTATTTCTTACTAACCTTGGATCTAGAACTTATTACATTTAACCAGAATTTACCCAGCATCATTTACTTAATTAGTTTAACAAAAAAGGTTCAAGACTTTTTGGTCAAATAATGTGGCACCATCTGTGGAGATTGTTTAGTTAAAATTTTAGTCCTATTTAGATCTGAGAAGAAAAAGGCATAAACTTCGCAAAAACTGGTGTTTCCTTTGTTTGCAAGAATTTGACATGACAGGCAACAGAGAGGAAAAGAGGAAAGCAGTAGCCGACACCCCTGCCAACCTCTTCCGCACCATCAACAAAGAAGAAATCGGTGAACGGCTCCTCGTCTGCTTGGCTACATCTGATGTAGCTGTGAGCGCGGTCCTAGCCCAAGAAATCCAAGCTACACAATCTCCAATATACTACATTAGCGAAACCCTGGTCAATGCCGAAATGAGGTATCTACACCTCCAGAAGCTGGCCCTGACTCTAGTTGTAGCTTCAGAGAAGCTTAGACCCTAATTCTAGTTCCACCCCATCTCGGCAGTAACAACCTTCCCCCTAAGGAGTATTCGGCACAAACCTGAACTATCAGGCTGATTGGCCAAATGGGCTGTAGAACTCAGCGAGCACGACATAACCTATCAGCCACGAACGGTGATAAATCCATAAGTGCTCGCCGACTTCAGTGTAAATATAATGCTCGAAGTCGAAAACCATCTACACTCGTACCAAACTACACAACCTAGGGGTACAATACATGGATGGCGCATCGAATGTCTTGGGATCGGGACTGGGACTCGTACTCGAGGTCCCGACTGGCAAAATAATTCACCAATCCATTCGATGCCCTGACATGACTAGCAATGAGGCCGAGTACAAGGCCGTGATTGCAGGTTTAATCCTGAGCACCCCCTCGAGCTCGCCGTATCGGTAAATGGTTTGTACGAGCTCGTCATCTTTCTATTTTAACTCCTCCCTGAGAGATTGAAGATCCCCCTGGATTGGAACCGAGTACGCAGCACACGGTACTTATCATGGATTCGGCAGTACTTGGTAACCATCTTTATAAAGACCACCTTCTTCTTATTTGCTCGGCGGGCACTCTCAATCTCTAAGATGAGTGTCTATAAATAAAGATAGCAAGCAAGAAAAAAAGAGGAGGGTCAGTAGGGTACAAAAAAAAGAAGGGACAACAAAAGAAGTAACTCACCCATAGAGCCAACCCGGATAGGTCGGCATCCTTGAACGACTCCAGAGTCTTATGCTCGACGCTAGAACAAATGGTCACCAGAGCAGGGACTACGCTTTCCATGCTGGTCATCAAGTTGCAGTCCAAAGGAATCACTATCAAATGAGAAGTCCCATCGGTCCTCACCTCGACCGGGGTAAGCCCCTCATCGAACATCCTCTCTTCCTCGGGGTCGATGTAGGAATCGGATTCAAACTCGTCGCCAATCGCACCCTTCTCCGCCTCCTCGGTAGAAGAAGGAATCTCGACTGGCACAGAGCTTGAAAGATCACTCGCCGGCACGACTGCGGCAGCCACTAGCGAAGCAATCTCAGCATCGGGAGCCGGAATCTCAGCATCCGAGGTTACGCCAGTATCATGCACAGGAATGGCGAGCTCGGGCTCACCACCACCGAGCCTTCAACCATCTCGACACCACCTCCGGTTCCAATTCGCCGCCTCTTTAAGGGACCACTTTCTTCCTCGTTTGCCGATGGCTCATCCACCAAATGAAACAAGGATGGGTCAGCAGCCTTCGTCGATGGAACATCCGCCCTATGGACAGATCTACGCAAAACTGAAATCTTGGATGAGGTGGCAGGTCGTGCAGACTCGCCCGTGGTCATAGAAGTTGAAGGCTTGACCAAAGCACTCGATTGGCAGAATGGGGGGTGGGAGCCTTTGTTTTCTTTGGGGCTTTCCGACCTGGTAATAAGGGAAATGACGTAAGCAATAAGGAAAGGTGGCAATGAGGCCTAATGGAGAAACGGAATGACTTACTAGTTAAAGAAGGTGGACGCCCAAATTTCTTGTTGAAAGACGACCATTCATGGATCCCCACCATGTGAGGCAAAATTTGAGCCCCCCAATCTCGGATGTCTGCAGCCAACACAAGAGGATCCCTCTCGGCTGCACCACAAAGAGTGATTAGGTAATCCAAGAAAGAAAGCAAGCAACCAATTAAACAGAATACTTGCGGTCAAAGTTCCACGCGTCGGTAAACCTGGTAGGGTTTGCTACCACGTGCTCGATCTTGATATAGAAAAAATCGACCCAAAACTTGCGATTAGCCTTGTCATCCATCTTTACCACCAGCCCTTTGGTTCCCCGGTGGCAAAGATGTGTGAAAGTTATGAGCAAAAAGATACAACAAATGATGGATGGAGAGTTCGCGGTCGGCCAGCTCAGCGTACTTTATCAATATGATAAAAAGCTTGTAGATGTAAGGAGAGGGCTCGGTTAGGCATACGTTGTAGTAATGGCAAAACTCCTCTGCTAGCGGGGGAAGATGAAGAGAATAAAACACCAGAAACGGGTACGCATAAAATACGCAATACCCAGGATGGTGGATGTGGACCACATCGTCTCCGGCAGGAACCAAATCGACACGAGCAGGGATGTCGTACTTGGCCCTAAGCTCAGAAAGGCGTGACTCTCCCATTTCGGACTTCACTGACTCGGGCTCGTCAATAGAGGACTTCGAGAAATTAGATTTGGCCTTATCACTATGAGGAACGATCTCCTCCACTGTAGGGAAACGATCATCTTCCATGGGTTGAACCTCCTCCTCAACACGAACAGGTACGGCCACTGACAACGGGTTTGGGCTAAAAATTTCCTCGGAGTTAGGAGATGTACAGCCCTTTGTGTGTTTATGTGTGAACGAAGATCCTTGGTCAAAAAAATTAATAAGCGACGGTAACGATGCAAGAAGTTGCAGAAAACAGAAAAAGATGCAAGAGAAGGAAATGAATCGCCTTTAAAAGTTTGAAGAAATAAAGTTCTGAATAAGGAGGTCCTCCCCCTTCTTATAAGAAAGCATCAGCCAAAAAATTGAGAAATGTAACTGCCATGCACAAGAATCGAAGTGATAGAAACGCGAGAAACTAGGTGACACCTCGGGAAAAACACACAATCGTGATGCGTGAAAGGGTGACATCACTCTGACCCCTCACCATTGGGCGTGACCTTCTAAGTACCGCCCACCACGGCTAGGATAACCGTTATTCGGCATCTGGTTCAGATTTCGCAAAGCCAGGGTTGGCGCAGTTCGTTTACCAAGGTCGACCTAAAGGACGATTTCGCAAGTGGAGGGACTAACTGTAAAGGACAAAATCCGACCAAGGAAATTCAGTGCAAAGAGACACCGTAGTGGTGGGATCGTGATTCGCCATTAGCGCCTCGGCTAAGCATGACCCGGGCAAACCCCTAAAGAAGTCCGTCATGGATAGAGCTATCAAAACGGGTCAGCCAGCCCAGCCCAAGCCTCGCGGGCTTTTAAATATGGTAGGCTAGGACGGGCCGGCCCTTCAATTTTTTTTAAGAAAAAAGAATTTCTTTAAATCCTTAAATATTTTTTGTGACATAGTTTATTAATCATGTAAATAA